TAAATTTTAAAATAAATATTTGAATTTTAAATATGAAAAAAGAAAGAATATAAACCAAAACTTACTTAAAATTTTTATTTAAAAAACTATACGAAAAATAAACAAATATTAATAATATACGAACTTAATAATGCAATAAATTTTTTTTATCGAAGAAATTTATATTTCATTTAATTTATTTTGTAAAATTTTTCAAACCTTTTTTCTTACTAAAATACTAAGTAATAAAAAAATTGCAAATTGGACTCAAAACTTTAATATGTCTTAAGACGTAACCCAAAGATTTTCTTTTCAAATTATGTCTCAATTTAGTTTTGTTCAGTGCATAACACCTTTGGTGCTCAAATGTAATTTATTTAGTCTACTTCACGCTCATAATGCCACGTATCCCCATCGGGAAGGGAAAAGGAGGGAAGCACTTGGGTGACGTGAAGCATTCATGTCAGTCGCCAGGCTGTGCCCCCTTTTCCTACGCCACTGTCTACTCCTACTTGCAAGTGGCAAGTCGCTTGGAAAAATTATGTTGCACGTGATATGCTTCAGCAAATTCGCTACATGTAACGCGTAACGGGGCTGGGTGTGGGGGTGGTGGAAAATGCTACGCTTTTCCGCCCTGCACTAAAGATGAGTTCCACTTGGAAATATAAATTGAAATCATCAACTGGCTTTGTGCGTTTTATCAACATTTTTACGTGCCGCGCTTCAAGTTTGCGTTAACGCTGCACTGAATCGGCCACGCCCACATTTTCCCACTCCCAGCTTTTCCACAGAATCTGATTTTTCCTCACTCTGTTTCTGGCTGCGAGTGCCAACTGCAAATTAAGCAATTTTCCAAAGGACTTTTGGCTGCTTTTTGGTTTCGCCAGCTTAATGTCTGACTGAGTGCGCGGTTTATTAAGATAAACGATGATGAACGGTGGAGCTGCCGCTCCCTTTCGTCCCCGATGTCTGGGTTATGGTTATCCACCTGCAGCTCTGCTCGCCTTGTTAATTGACTGCTCAGCTCTCCAGCACTTTCCCTTTCTCCTTCCCGCCCACGCCCCCTGAATGAAAAACAAAGGAGGCGGACTGTCGGGCGGGAAAATTGAAGCTGGAGGAGCTCATTCTATTAGGGCATTTGCATGCTTATCTCATTAACACGAAACACCGGAGTTCCGGGCAGAGGTTGGTTTTTATTCAAGAATACCATCGTTCACTGGTGGTTTTAATGGTGAAGTGTTTAATAAATATGCAACATTTGCAGAAGCCAGAAACATATTTGCCCGCTTAAATTTTTTAATTCTATTTTGAATTAATACTGTTTTAATACAGTCAAATAAAATACCACTTTTTCTAAAAATATAATTTAAATAGAATGATTGTTAGTTTCGGCTTATTGTTCTCTGTTATATACGAACTGAAATAATTTCAATAACAAATTTTATTGTATTTGTGTTGGTATCGATTTCGACAAATACGCATAGTTTTCAATCATTTTTTTATATTTAAAATAAGTTATCAAATTATAATCGGCAAATCAATCTAGGCATGTGTGATTTTCAATTGAGTTTAAAGTATTTTCAATATCAAAATCTTATTTTAGTATTTCAAAAATAACTTATAAATTTGCATATAACAACGGCAACCGATTATGATTTCTTTCCTTAAAAGTTTGATATTTTTTAAACGTTTACTCAACAAAGAGCATCCCCAAACCTTTAACCTTTTCCACCCATTTACTCAAATTTTTTCCCTGCATAATTTACATGTAAGGGTCGCGAATATGTGTGAGAGTCCTGGTTGCCCACTGTCCTTCAGGTCCTTCTCGTGACTCCTGGCTACTTGACTGTTGTGGAACTTTTGCGCTTTTGTCGTGGTTTTCATTATCCCTTGCCGTTTGGCTTTTTGCTGCTCATAAGCCACAGCAACCCTTTCCCCTCCGCTGTGCCCATTTTGGGGCCACCTCAAAGCGGGCTGCAACTGACACATTTGCCAATATTGACTGTACACAGTGGACCAACATCCAGCCACTCGCTTTATAGAATTTGCAGTCGCCTCTTAGTTTTCCCCTCATTTCCGGCTCTTTCGGCCTATGCAAACAAAGCCTTGTTACTCGGCTCGCTCTTTTTACCACTCATTAGTGACAATTTTCTTGTAGTTGACATTTGCCTCGCCCTCCCCGCCTCCACACTTTGCGGTTGCAGGACAAAGTTTTTGTGTTAATACCACCATCTTGCCCTTCTCCCCTTTAAAGTCAGACATTTAAAGTCAGACAGGGGAAAACAAGAAAATAAAATCGCAACGTTTTGTGGCACGTAAATGACGACGGGCAGTTGAGGAGGAAAGAAAAGAATATATGGATCCGGCCTGGTAGGGCGTTCAATTTTTGATAGAAAACCAATTAATTGGAAAAATTAAAATCAAATATTTGCCAAAGCGCTTGAACAACACATCACTGGAAACCAAAAAAAAAATAGTACATGAAAAAATGCACAGCAACACAGGAAGAAATATATTTCAGGTATTCGATTTCAGAGGATCAATTAATTTTCTGGCTATCGTTACGCTTAACAAATATGCTCAGGTGATTTAAGCTTTTGAATAAGTAAATCAAATGTTAAAGTTATTTAAATATTTATTTAAAAAAAAAAAAAAAATCACGAGATCATCAAAATAAAGTGCAATTTAAACGATAACTAAGAATTTCATATAGTTACCAGGCTTACGGATTGAAATGAGATACTTCTGTTTAACAAAATCAATTTGTTCAATATAAACTTCCAATTGTTTATTTTCAGTGTATAAGAAAAAATATAGCTGAGCTGGTTGCTCTCTTTTTCGACGTCAGATCTAAGCATCGTCCTTCATTTATCCTTTCCCCAGTGCGAGTGTGTGAGTGGGGCAGGAACTCTCAATCAGCGCATGTTGGCGCCCACAAACTCACGTGCAAACACTTTACGACAGGGACTTTCGAAGGGGCAGGAGAAATCGAGGTGGAGTAGGAGCCGCACATCCAGGACACCCACATCCTCATCCAGAGGGATGCTGCTCTCGTTTTGAAGTGCAATTTAGCACAGCCACAGATTTTCCTGCCCTTGCCGCCCTCCAGATGCTCTCCAAGTATGCGGTAATTAATGCAATGAGGGCGAGTTGGGGGAGTGCGGCAAGTGGGCAGGGGAAAACTTACGCAAGGTGTGTGCTACCGCCATATGAAAGGTAGTCTGAGGTATTGACCAGGTAATGCAGGACAGGAGGAAGGATATCAGATACTTTAAGATTGAACTTGGGGGACTTAAGCCTCGAGGGTTATTGGAATTCTGTAAAGATAATCAAAAACATCTTAGGAATAGGATTTAATTTATAAATAATCAAATTTTCTTTCTTAACATTGAATACTTTAAGTAATTGGAAAATTCTTCCCTAAGAAACTAATATAAATATTTTAGATTTCTTAAAGTATGAGCGAGCATATATTTTTGAGAAAGAGTAACTTTTTTTTATCATCCTTAATTCGGTAATTTATAGGTAAAACTTCAACTTTGAATGTCTTGACAATTAAATTGATTTTTACATGGCCCACTCAACTTAAGATTTTTCCAGAAACTCACTAGTCTTGCTACATAATAAGAGCAAATAAGTTATACTTGCAATTTCTATAAATCCCTCTCCTCCTCCTTTGTAATTCTAATCCCCATCATAAATCCACTTCACCTTATTTTTTTGCTACAGCTTTAAGGGTCATTAACAAAGTGCAAGGTTCAATGCCTTCCGTAAACTGTTCACCACCTTCAAGTTTTCTTTAAGGAAGCGGAAGATAAAAAAGAATTCTTAAAGATTTCCTGCCCTGCGAAATGATATAAACAAACACACAATTTGCGCCACTTAGCAGCAAATGGACGAGGCCATTAATAATTCCATTTTTTCGTTAGGTCAGCCGCAAAAAAGTCAAGGGACGGCAAACGAAAAAAACAAAGCCAAAACCGCCCAGATAATAAGGAAATATGACTTGAGGCGGACCGCAAGATGCTGCGACCTCAAAAAGGGGGAGGGTGGTTGGGTGGTTGGGAGTTTTTGGGATGTTGGCATGGACATATACTAGTAAACGTGGCGAGACGGTCTTGTAAAACAAGCCAGCAACAAGAACAACACAACACAAAACAATAAATCGAGCGGGGAGAAGGCCAAGGAGAAGGCGCTCTCATAAACAATGTAATAATAAGGCCAACATTGTGCGAGAACTTGGCTTGGACTTGAGCGCCAGAAAGTGGCTGCCCCTTCACTCGTATAAATCTTGCCCCAAAGCCCGGGGATTCCTATAATTGCTGGCCATTAGAAAAATGTTAATTGTCATTAAACGGGGATGCCGGGACATTTCCCACGGATAACGAATTCAGGAATCGAAAGTAAGTTAAGGATATTAATGAACCGTATAATAAAATTAACACTCATCGGTGTCCTTTTTTTGTTCATTTAGACAACTTACAATTCCAGTGGAACAATTCCAATTAGAATTCAATTAAATTGGCTGAAATTATTTTTCCATTTTCATTTCACCCTCGCTTTTTTGCTCTGCTCAGTCAGTGTGGCAGGATAATAAGCTGGATGAACTGTCATGAACATTTTTAATTAAATTCAATATCCAAGATCTTTGTTCTGGCGCTTTTTTGTTTGTCTTTCTATAATGACAGGGAGGAAATGGAAGACGGAAATATGATTGCAAATAATTGCATAGGTTCTCGATGCTGTAATACGAAAAGATTAAACGAAAAGTTTTGTTCGACAAAAAGAACAAATTTACAAATTAACATTTTTGAATAAGTTTTATTGAATGGCTTTAAACATCGAAATAATTTAAAGCACACGTTTTTCAATACTCATTGCTACTGAAAAAATGGTTTTATAAGATATATATATATATGCATTTATAAAATATATTATAATTTCATTGATTAATATTTTTTTTATGTGATATGTATAAGTGATAGATGTTAAACTTTTGGTTAAAAATACAAAAAAATTAATTTGCTTTGCATGAAGTGTTTTATGTTTATTTTGAGTTTTCTTTTTGTTAATTACAATTTTAAGTTTAAGTACAATATTTTATACAAAAAATTGAATTGTGTTGCCTTGTTGAAGTTCCGTCTAATATAGTTTAAGTGGTATCCCCGGTGGAGAAGTCGGTACCAAATAACTTGTTGCATACTTGGGCGGCCAAAAAGCGACGAGCATTTTTTTTACTTGTCCCTTTAGCCTTGAACTCTTGGCCGTACACCTTGACTCCCATTTCGAAGAGCTCGTTCGGCTGTTCGCCGGTGGATCCCAAATACTCGAAAATGGTATTTGGCCGCATGTAGGTAAGAACCAGGCTAGGATGCATGGTCTTCCAGCTGAGTGGTAATTCCGAGCGTTTTAACGGAACATTGAAACCCTCCAGTTTCCACTCCTCAGAAAGTTTGTGCATGGCGAACGAGGCAAGCATCATTACGAACAGATCATCTTGATCGTCGCTTGTGTTCTGATCTGCTAACTTGGCAATGATTATGTCTATCAAAGCCTGCTCGCAGGCCTTATTCTTGGCCGATATTGTTGAAGGACCCTCGCCATAGTACTGCTTTTCGTTCACGGTTATATGGGCCTTAAACTTTCCTTCGCTATCGCGTTTCGAGGTGGCGCGGCTGATGACCACACCTTTTACCCCATTGATGACCATCCAAGCGTCCTTGGGGATTAGGGACTTGCTCAGCTGGCGGTTTAAGCAACGATTCATGTTTTGAACCGACCCCGGTTCGTTTTCCCCACTGCCGTTTTCCTCACTGGTGTCCAAGGAAAGCTCTTCGTTGACGGTCGTCTGAGGTTCTGGTTCACTTAAGTCGCTGGAAGGCTCATTGGAGGACATCTCCTCTAATTCTGTCTTCAAGATCAATGGCATTACAAGCCCGCTAGGGGTCCCTGCAAGTGGATCACAATCAGCAGATGAGATGGCATATTCAACAGCAGCGGGAATGGGATCAAACTCCAGGATGTAATTATCAATCTGACCTTGGGCACCTTTATTACCATCAATCGCAGCTGGTTTATCAGAAGAATCTGCAGCCGAAATAGAATCATCAATCGCAATTGTCGCATCAGATTGGACATAATTGAGAGCGGTAATACCAATCGAAGCAGAACCTGTATCCTGTTTTTCCTGGTCACTATTTCCCTGATCAATAGCAAGTGGATCTTGATCAGCTAGTGCAGCTTGCAGATTTGGAGCCGCAAGTTGAACAATCTCATTTGATGGAGCAGAAAGGTCTGGATTCAGGGCTGTAATATCCATCTCACCCGAGTTAGAAGCAGAAACTGTGTCTTGATTGTTCTGCACACAATTTCCTCCATCAGTTTCAGCTGCTTCAGGAAAAGCATTTGGTTCATCATGATTTGGAGACGCGATAGGAACAGCTAGTCCTACGGAAATATCAGCGTTTAAGTCAATTTTATATTTAATTTACATATATTTAATCGCACCTTGTTCCTCTTGGTCTCGATTTTCGGACATTGGAGACTTAATTAATGGCCCCATGTTGCCATTTAAATCTTCAGGTTCGCCGAAAATCGTTTTCTCTTGGAGACTCATGTATGAACCACAAATTCGCTTCATTTTTCCTTTTTATTATACTTTTTAATGTCGGCTGCCACTTTGACAGTTAAAGATTCAATGTTTGTCAAAAAGCTGGAGACATATCGAATGGCCTATCGGATTAGGTCATACTATCACGATATCAAAATAAATGCCAAGATTCACAATGTTGCGTTATTAGAACAGATGATTTTTTAAATTAATCAATCTAATTAAATCAAAGTAAATATTAGAATTATGAACTTAAATGTTCTAGTTTTTGGTATATATTAAAATTTTGGAAATACGAAGCTTTGAACAGAAATTAAATTCCTTCAAAGATCAAAGTAGAAAGAATAATTATAAATATTTACAAATAAAATTTTAAAACTTCTAGAAAATAGTATTCTAAATATTTTCAAATGACCAAAATACTTCAAAAAGGTTTTACCAAAAGAATTAAAAACCCAAATCGGGGAATACGAGATGCGCTTAAAGGTTAACTTAAATTGATATTCAAATCGGTATTTAGGCCTGTGAGGTCTCTTTAATTTCCTTACGTAGTTGTAAAATAAAACCATTTTTTCCCGCCAAACTTCTGCCAATTTTGTACTTTAAAAGGCCATTTTGGGTTAAGGTCGAAAAGTCAATACTATGGGTATTCATTTTAACGTTACCATCACCGCGGCTTGTTTTGCACTCCAAATGGTCGAACAGATCGATAGAGGGCAACCCTTTCCTTTCCATCGTTTATCATTGAACCACTCGATGGACTCGCCATTCACTTGGCTCGATGGCAAACGGGAGGGCGGATAAAATAGTTGGCGTGGCCATAATTGCTAAGCGTCTATAAAGTTGCCCTTGGTGTATTAGGGGCCACAACAAGTTGGGCTGCACTTTCGTTTCGTGCACTTGCCAAAGGCCAAAAAGTCAGCAACGTGTTGGGTCTACCACAAAAACAAGAGCCCGGCCACAAAAAAAAAAAAACATGAGCAAAACACGGTGCAAAATTCAACTAAAATAGAAGCGTTAAAATATTGCCAGCATTTCCGCGTTTTTAAAAAGCAAAAAAAAAGAAGGCAGGGGCGGAAAAGTTAGCAATGCCGCCTTTGGACCAAAAGCAGCTGATCCTGGCCAAAGCTTTTACATTGGTGACTTGGAGCGGAAATTATGTAAATTTAAGTGTTGGGCGCTGCTCCGCCCATCGCCCTGTTTTTGAGCAATGAAAACATGAAAGCAAAAATCCACACAGCGAAAAAAAAAAGAACGTTGAAAAGATGCCAACAAATAACCAATAAAAAGCAACAAGCAACGAGCCAGTGGGGGCAAAAGGAAAACAGCATAAAGTTGTGCTTGGAAAATTTCCCACATTTGGTTTGGAGTTGAGTTTTCCCTTGTTTTTCCACGGTGAGTGGGGGGCGGTATTGGTCCTGGGCCCGGCAACAAAGTTTTCGTAATTGTTTTTGCATTTTGCGGCGCACACATTCGGCCGGGAGTGGAAAAGCGGGGCCCAAATGTGTCCTTTGGTGTATTAAAAAGTTTCCCGTTTTTTTTCTTTTTAGAGGGCGAAGAGCTGGCCAAACATTTGCTGCCGTTGGGTCGTGGTCCATTGCCCATTAACATTTTATATGCAATTATGATTATTTTACCATTGTGCATTCGCGGTAATCTTTGGGGAGCAAACGTTGAAAGTTGAGTTTTCCATGCAAACGGAGAATTTAATGGGCTTCAATCGCCCCAAACTGGACTAGAAAGGGAATTGGGTGGGTCAAAGATATACAGAATCCAATCAATAGACATTTGAATGGGTGGAGAGTGGAAATTGGAGCTAAAATTGCATTGAGGCCACATGTTGCAGAATGTTAATTGAATCGATAAAGGAGTTTAACATCGTTATGCAGTAATTAAAACCAAAATACTTCGGTTTTAATGGTTTAATGATTGAAAATGTTTCTTTAAAATCTCTTCCTTGAAATGATTTTAGGAGTAAGGAAATCAATAATGTATTAAATTAGATAACTCCGAATTCACAATATTTGAAAATTGATTTTATAATACATTTAAAAGAGGAACGTCTTAAACGCCTTTTACCTTACAAATATAGACAATTTTGTTTGTAACTTATAACAAATTTAAGAGATATTCATTTTAATGAGAAACTAATCCTTGCATTTATAAAATATGTTTTTGAACTGGAAATGTGTGAGCACCCTTAATGGTTGGTTATTATTTTGTGGTACGTTTCCATCACAAGTTCAAAACATGGTCAGAAACTTTTCCCATTTTCCATTTCTATCACAATCCAGTTCTGCCTAAGTTACATATGCAGACAAAACCCGTACTGTACCTGTCCTTTGAAACAAGCTGAGTGACTGCAACCAGCAGCCATTCTGTGGTCATTAGCCCAAACCAAACTTGACTTCTACTCTGGCCTGAGATTTTCTGCAGAATTTGCGAAAAAAGACAGTGCAGGAAGAAGCAGATGAGAAGAGATTGTGAAGGGGTAAAAATGTATCCACAAAATGCGACGGCGACACAAATCTTCTTTATTGCTTGCTACGTTTTGCATGCACAGCCTGTCCGATCTCACTGGGAAAAAATATGGTAATTTTAGGTCAAAATTTGAACTTAAAAAAAAAAAACATAATTACATAATTTGAAAGTAAATATTTATTTAGGTAAGTCTTTAGGAAATTTTGGTTCGGAATTCTGTGGTATAATTTCTAGTCAAATCTTTTCTGTTCCGAATTTAAAGATCATAATTCCTTCTTAAAGCAACCAATTAATTTAAAATGCAGGTCACATTTCTTCTCAGTGTTCACATGCCCCTTTGCGAGTGTTAGTGTCCTCCCTCTGTCTGAGTGCGGACTTTGACAAGAGGACATTAGGCTGGGTCCTGGACAAACAACTAATGGCCTTTCGAGGGCATTTTCCCTGGTCACAGGTGCTCGGGCTTACCTACGCCCAGGTTGTTTTAAATTAAAAATCTATACGAACGCAAACAGAAAACGTGGCCCAACATGCTAAATATTCTTTACATGCTTGAGCTGAATTCTTGTGATTTATGCTTGGGTTCCATTCAATAATTTTATTGGTTTTGTACGATTTTTGGTGCTGATGCTGCTGCTGGAATATTACTCATACGCCGCATTGCCCGCTTAGCGTAACAGAAAGTCCACTTGAGCGGATTACTGTGTTCATGTGATAGCCATTCCACGCAATCATTTTCAGAAATGGGGAAAAAAGTATGTGCATTAATACAGTTTCATGATATGTCCCTCAAAAAGCGTATGCCCACACTCAATGTAAACTTTTCGATTTGATTAAATAATTGTAATTTCTTCGTTTTACTTTCATATCGATATGCACCTTACAGCACATATGTATAGCAGCTCTACTACTAAATTTTAATTATTTTGTCTGTAAGGCATATTTTAATTTCCCGTATTGAATTATTCTCGAAATTTATAGCATAAGCAAAGTATGTGTTCTCTAATGTTGACTTGATTATCAACAGTCGCTGCACATCTTGCATGTTCACATTCGGTGCTGCATTTTGCAGCTGGCACTTGACAGCTGATGATGTTGCACATTTTCCCCTGTTCGGTGAGTTTTCGGCTCCATTCTGACCAACTCTTGTCAGTTGCCATGAGCAGACTAATTATGCAAAGCTGTGCGGCAAGAAATTTGGAGGAACTGTACTTCTCTGGAAAGGAGTAATCATTCAGATAGAAATATTCCACAAAATTTTTTAAAATTTAATTTGTATCCACTTATACAAAATCAAAAATTCTTTTATTAGCTCTCAATTGTAAAATCCTAAAAAATAATTAAATTACATATGTACTTTTGAAAGCTAATGTTGTTAAAAAAAACTAACTATGAACAAAAATTAAATTAGATTATTCCAGTAGTTTACTTATAAGTCAATTTGTGTTTAAAAGATATGCGTATACCACATACATTGTAGCAACAATAGTAATAAACAATTTTTGACTAAAAAATAGTATTTCAGTTTTTGTATTTATTCCAAATCCATATATTACTTATGTATGCCTTTTGAAGTTATATTACAACTTCGATTTGTACTACATTCAGTAGCATGTGTCATCTGGTGCACTTATGATAATTTTAAAGTATTTTTCGGGGGCGTCCTGCAGCACTTACCTTATCAGGAGGCACAGGCTGGGTCCTGGAAGCTGGAAGCCCCACTATCAGGTAGCTGGGGCAGCTCTGTGCAGCCAAGTGGTGAAAAGTATTCACATTAATTCAAGCAAAAATAAATTATAAAGGCAAAGGGCCGCCTGCCCCCTTTGTCGGCGACTTTTCGCTGCGTTGTGCATTTTATGACGTTTAATGTGTTTCTGCTGTCAGCAGCAGAAGTTGCAGTCGCTGCCGGCGTCGACGTAGATGCAACTTTTAACTTGTTTTTTTTTTTTGTGCTGCCGCGTTGAGTGCATTTTGTTGATTTATAATAAAATAATGTAAAAATATTACACAATAATGAATGCGCCGCGCACCACGTCTGCTTTCTCCCACTTGCTTTCGGTCCTGCTCTGTCTCTTTCTTTGTCCTTCTTTTTCGGGATGAAATATGAAACAAGGAAATGCTCGAGGTGGAAAAAAGTTTCAGCCAAGAATATGAAATATGCGAGAAATAAAACTTTTAACTAAAATTATATATGTATATAGCCCCTGCATATATCCACTTACATATGTTGCTTATGGTAGGTGTGTGTTTGTTTTTGTCATGTTGTTTACGTTCACTTCTTGGCCATATTTCTTTCGTGCGAAACTACACGAAATATTTTTGTGGTTTGTTACTGTTGAAATACGCTCACTAAATATGTAAGATTGGTGAATAATGAATAAGAAGAGAATTTTTTTTACTTATTTGGCAATTGTATTGCTATTAACGATAACACATATTAAAATTTTTTTGAACACTTTCATAAACTTTAGTTTATTATGACTTTTTAAAAATTGCTATAAGAAATGGACCAAAATATACTGATTGAAACCCTTAAACTTAAAAATAGATCAATAAATCTTCTTTAAGAAATAAAATATATTTGAATTTATAATCATTTAATCAAGTTTAATCATTTTTTTTGTAGAAGAGTAGAAATTGTTTAGAATTCAATGCAACTAATTAAGCTTCAACCTTTTTTATATTTCATTTTAAATGTTGATTTAAATTTTATTAGGCGTTCAATTCTATTTAACAGATAACTTTAACAATTTTATTTAGTGGTACTCAGGCAGCATTATTCCTTAGTTGCGTAGCTTTGATTCCATAAATCTTATTGGGTTAGAGTATCTGGCAACTTTACCCACAAGGACTCCTAACTTTCCCGCACTCAAAGTCAACACATACAGCTCACATTTTGATGCGCTTTGAGATCGTGGCGTCCTTGCAACTTTATCGCGCCAGAAATTGCATCATATTTCACGGACCTCAGCGTGACAACAAAATATTTATATATATAAGTAATACTCGTACATACAGCGGTGAAAAAAAAACCGCTTGCACAAAGTTCGGGAAAGGTAGCTTTACTCACCTCGCACCGTGAGGGGCCAACTAAGACGTCTGTCAGCGCGAAAAGAAGTGAACGAGCAAGCGAAAAAAGTTGTCAAAAGTTTCGCGCCACACGGCGTATGAGTAATGCCAGACAAAAGACAGAGATGCTTTAAGAACTGCACAATTTATTAAGAATACACGCGTTTGATTATAATTTATAACGACACTCATTCAGAACGCAATCTTTGGCATAATTTTGAAAATCCTGAGATAAACTTTGAGCATGCACATAATTAATGAAAGACCAAATGTCGTCTTCAGCATCGTGTGCAAAAGGAGCATCCTGAGCGCGTCCAGTTACAGATGCAACGCAGGAGCAAAGGAAGCAGCAGGAGCAGAAGGAGCAGCATGCAAAAGGGAGTAAACAAAGTGTAATTAAAAACTACTTAGCGAAGGACCTGGCCCTCTACTTCTTTCGGCCCACCTGGAGAGTCAGACCCACCTGCGATAAATAGTTTTGCGCTGCTGTAATTTATTATCGTTAGCGCTATCCTTGAAGAAGTAGCGCCTGATGCCGCTGAGGTATGAGCGGAAATATTCGCTCCAATTAATCGTCGCAATGTTAAACTGCAGCACTGAACGCTCCTCGCGCGGCAGCAGCTCGTTCAATTCGTCAATGTTGCGATGGGCGAACTTCCACTCCTTCAATCCGAACCAGGCCATCATGTCGATTATGCGAGATATCTTCCTATACGCCTTCATATAGCTGCATGGAGGGAAAAAGCATTAGAATATAAGGGTACTGGAGCCATATACGTTTTTGTAAGATAATAACGCTAATGCCATCTTAATTCTTTCAAAAAATAATTTACTTTAGGAACAATTAAGATTACATTAGTTTACCCATGAATAAAACAGAGTCAGTCAAAATATCATCATTATGCATTTCAATAACTATTCACAGGCTTATTATAAAAATAATTTTATATTTGTAAATCTTAAAAAAATATAAATTAGGCTCCTCAGTTTGCTTCAATTGTACAAGAAAATAAAAAACAATTTCATATTCACTTCTTTTTATAGTTTCTCTCCATGTAAAAATACAAGAATGGGAAAAGATGTTCAGAAAGGATGCAGAGATTGCTGTCAATATGTTTGTTAATTGGGGGAGCTGTTGTGGAGCAGTGTGGTCTTGTTGGGGCCCACCTACAATACTGAGGCTAATGCGCTCTAATTGAAATTTGTTAAATATTACGTATACGCCCAGAACTAAGAAGCTTGCCAAGAGGGTTGACTAGATGGAAACAACGAAATGTCTTTACTCTTATTTTGCTTTGATAAATATGTCAAGATATATACTAATTAAAAACTCTTTGGTTTTTAAATTGTTTATGAAATCTCAAAGGTATTACAATTTTTAAACTTGAATTTTGTTTTCTGTTCTAATCTAAGCCCCAACATTTGCTTAGATTGTAGTTCAAAATTATCTTAAATGACTAAACTAGATAATTATAAATGACTACACCAAGATCTTGACTTAAATGTTTTCAAATATGTTATTCCCATATTTAATGAGACCTGGCAAAAAAATTACTATTAAAGCAAGACGCAAAAACTGCCACTTTTAGCTTGCGACACGGATATACAGATAAAAGTTATTATGCTCCCTTGACTAACATTTTTATTTTGAAATCGCGCTTTGATTTTGATATTTTCCATGTAAGCTTTGCCATAGAAAAATATGTAAAATTCAGTGATCATTTTCACTTCAATATATTAATCGCTCTTGATTGCCCCTTTATCCTTAACAAAGTCGATGTCAAAAAATAAGCCCCCGAAGAATACCCTGAACAGGTCATTCAATTGCCTTTCCATGTACCATTTAAAATCCATTCAATGTAGCCGACCCCGAAAACCCACACACCAGCACATTGCCACCTTGGCAAACATATTCTCAATGGGGGCGGGGTACGGGGGTGGGCGTGGCCTGGGGTGAGGGTGTGTGTATATGAGAGCAGCTGAATCGATGTGTGAGTGTACTTACATGCGCTTTTGTCCGGTGACCATGGCAATTAAATCTAAAATATAAGCTGGGATATTGTGCAAGAAAAATGCAATTGCACAATGCAGAGGCTTCGATGGTATTATAACGTACGAGAAGCACCTGTGACAATAATGCGGTCGATCGAAGGATATATACATTCGTGTGTGCGAGGGGTCGTGGATATGGCGATTCCAGCGATTCCGTGTGGTATTTGGGTTCGATTTGGTTTAGTTGGCAATCCCCAGTTCGTTTTGTGTTTTTAGTTTGTGTACGTTGGTTTCGTTTTTACGTAGTTTTGGCCGAGTTTTTTATTTGTTGTTCCGAATTTCGTTCAGGTTTCGTTGTTTCAAGGTATTAGCAGAGCATAGATAAATTTTCCGTTCGCAAAAATTTGAAAATATTTAAGCATGGGATTAGACATGCATACAATATGGCAGCGTTTCGTGTTGATTTTTTTTTTGGGGAAAAATTCAATAAAGAATATTTATTTTTGTACCACACAGTGTGTGTGTGGGTTGAACTCACCAAAGCGCCTTGTCGAAAGGTTCGTGAAATCCTTTCCGCGACAGATGCATATACTGCCCCCAGGTTATATTGTTCACGTCGGACACGTAGTTGTATACGGGCAGCTCCGATTTACCATCCACTTTACTTTCACGGATTTTAAATCTGCGAAGTAAAAAGATGTGGAATCATTTCCCGGAGACACATAAAAAAATTGGATACTGAATAAATGTACTTTCGAACTATTACTTTTTCGGAAAAAAATGATTATTGTTTTCTTAGTTTAAGTACCTAAATTATTTAAATAAATTTTGGTGTTCAAATATATTAGAATTTCTAAAAAAATTAAATTTTCAATTAAAACCCAGTCTTAATATATTTGGGGACTTTAAATTAGATTATGGAAAATTTTTTTTTAATTCTTAAAGACTTTTTATTTTTCTAATGAAAATATAATTGAAAAAATTAAGATGAATAAAACAAAATTGGAAAAAAAAACACAAGGAACAAAACAAAATAAATTCGGTGAAGTAATTTAATAAATACAAAAAAGTTAATACGAAACCCACAAGTCTTATCCCGAAATGCAGTGAACTTTTCCCATTCCTCGTTCAGTCCCCCGACAGGTGATAACCTGCGACCTTTGCCCGTCTTAATTTCTCCGCTCTTGGTATTTACAAATTTCCACCTTCTTGCAGCCCGCAAACAACCGAATGCTATCAGCTTGCGGTGGAACTCTTTACAACTTTTACACATCCTCTGGCACCGCTTCAGCAGGATGTTTGAGTGTTGGTGTGGACGTGGATGTGGACTAACCTTCGAGCTATATCCCAGGCGGTTGCTATCATGGCATTCACCACATAATCGGCGGGCACCATATTCGCCTTGCAGCTGGCCGTGCCGTAAATGCAACGGACGAGTCCCCGGGCAGACCAAGTGCATAAACCTGATGGCCCGTACAAATTATCAGTCCAGCCGGGAAATGGATCCTTGTAGGTTGACATTACTGCGAATAAATAAGAATTAATGGCTGCTTTGTTCGCCCGGCCAGAGAATCGCAGACGGAGAAGGACTTTTACTGCGGCCACCGGGAGTTTCCTTGTTGATTTTAGCCAACGTCAAAGCGATAATGGCGGCGACTGGTCCACCAGTTCGGTTCCCTAACTCCAATCCCACCTCCACCAACTCATTGCGAACATCCCCTTCCATTTGCCATTTCGCTAACTGATATGCCTGACTCCCAATTGCAAGTTTTGGACTTGATTTTTTTTCGATATACTCTTGGGCAATGGAGTTAATATGCTGTGATGTAAAAAGTAGCTTATCTATAGTTAGTAACTGCAAAATTGATAAATAAATTCAACTCTCACTTATATAATGTAAGCTTTTAAAAAAAATTTGGGTTTATGACATCCTGTTTTCTATTTTAAACAAGCTGTTAGTGAGGAAAATGTTGTCCCTAATTTTTTGGTCAGGCAAATAAGAAACTGATTAAAATTATAATCTTTTAATGATTTCTGTTTGATGACAAGAAGGAGAAGTACTTCGTAAATTACAATTAAAAACTAGATACCTTATCAATCTTAAAATTGAGAAATATTTAATATTTATTAAATATTCTTAAATTCAGTATCTAAACATCAAAGTTAGGGTATTTTAATATCTACCCGATCAACCGAAAAATGTCTTTTTCCATTGCCATTCTCGTTTGCACAGCCAGCTTAGGTTCCAGCTGCATGAGGACGATGCTTTGGCATTTTTGTGTTAAAATAAATGAAAATTTGTTTGTGCTTTGTTTCTCGAGAGCTTCGGCAGCCAGAATCCCCCCTCCCCTGAGCACTGAGACGATGGGAAAACCAAGTCAGCCATCCACTGACTTTTTGTTACGTTTCGTTCGTTACGTTACGTTGCGTTTTGTTGCAGCAGCAGCACAAACAAAGAAGCAAACAAAATCACAAAAAAGGACCCGAAAATATAAAAACTTTTTCCACATGCCTTTATCTGGTAAACCCCAAGTCTCCTCTCCCTCCTCTCCTCTCCTACATCGCCCACTACCGAATGAAGACAACTCTGTTGGCCATTTTTCACTAAATTTTAAATATTCCTTTTTCCTGGGCCACAAAGATCCTCCGGGGGATCTCTCCATGGCAGAGCGGAATATGTTTCTTGTGTGGTTTTGTTTGCACAATGCCTGCCCCTGGGTATTTGTGCTAATTATCTGACAATTAGTTTGTTAAGTCAAGTCTGCAACCGCAATAAATATTCCGTACGCCACCCACTCACCTATGGGTGGTCGAAAGATGCCCGCTGGCATGTGGAATGCCCGATGATTCACCAGATTCTCGGCGCACTTCTTGGTCATGGTGTAGGTGTTGGGCATCTGGCCAATTAGGCAGTGCCGCATCTTCTCCAGCGTTTCGTCGTCGAATGTGCGATAGATCTGCGAATTTATTCGAATATATAAGCTCGTGAAAACATTTTCCAATTTAAATAAACTGTCATATCGCATATCAAAAATGATATTCAGGATTTTTGTTTGCAACTTTTTTTGCACGGTATTCGTTTGTTAAAGGGTATATTGGGTCATAGACAAGACAACATCTGATTTGTCTAAAAAAAAAAGGTTTTCCGATTTACATATTTTTAAAGAGTATTGTTTTTTAAACAACTTAAAATTAAACTGAATAATATTGTAGTTTAACTACAATTAACTTTTAACTACAATTAACTTTTAATTTAAATTTTTGAAGGCTAAATATTCAATGTTGTGGAGTTTTCAAAATGTTTCAAAATCAAATTCCTCAGAACTTAAACTAATTTTTTCAAACACCAATTTTAAATTATTTGTGAACTTTGTGAATCAATAATTATTTAATATATTTATTGTTAAAGCCCCTAATAATTAAAATAGGTAGGAGATTTTATAAAAATTATTATTTCTTTCTAAACAAAGTCTTCCGGTTGACCAATCTTAAAATATAAAATAATTTTTTTAATAAATAATTGTTTTCAGAACAAAAGCTACCATATGCAATTCTGTTTTAAATGAAAACTCTTGAGTTCCAATTCGTGTAAGTCGCCTTTCATTATTATGTTAAAGAGGCTGTTTCCTAAAAGGATATATATGGATCCGCAATAGTTTTTTCTGGAGTCTTAAATGTGTTGCTTGTATTTTTTTCTGATATTTCATTTTTATGTAAGCATTACCAACCTGCATGATTTTTTCGTAGCCAATTTCGTTCTCGTACACTTGTTCCTTGATAAATTTGCGATTGCAGTTGCAGTAGAGTGTTGAAATGTGCACGAAGGACTGTGCCCACGGGGAGGTTGAATTGGAGGGACCACCGAAATCGGGAGGGAAACACGCATGTCGAATGTTGATTGAATTGTGTTGGAAATTGTTTGCCCGCCAACGCCGTAAAATATGCATCACCCAAATAAGTTGGAAATTCGGGAGAAAGAGAGAAAACAGTACGTAAATATTACAATTCATACTCAAATATTTTTACATGTATGCAGACTGGGGAATTATGTATTTTGGTTACTTAAAAGCGCGATATGTGAATATTTAACGTATATTTTACCGTTGTTTATTTTCACTAATGGAAATGTGGCCATGTCGGGCATGATAGCTGGATGATGTGACTTTAATCGGCTTTAAAATTATGTGCGTGGAATCAATATTGAATGCCAGTGTATTGATTGCTGATACATTGGTTAGTTCGTAAAATGAGAGAGAGGAAATGTTGATGAAATTTTAAAGGCCATGACAAATTTTTATATGATTTTCTTAAGGTTTTCCGAGTGACAAACCAAGTTATAGGACAATACAAATTTTGCATTCCATTTTTCCAAATAAAAATTGTATTATTTTTCTTAACGTTATTCAGAAGATCTTTAAATGCATTTTACACCTAACAAACGTTCATTATCTGTAACCACTATCAAGCCTTTAATGAGTTCACATTTTATTTGAAAGCACCTTACCTTTAACTGTTTCATTTCCATGGCCAAATCGAGTATTTTCTTCGTGCCCAGAACATTAATGTCAATAGCGTCGCTCAGTTTCTCATTGAATTTCACCGAAGCCACAACATTGAAGACAATCTACAGACGAGGAAGATAAACCAGACCCACGAATTGTAATGCATATTAAAAATGAAAACAAAAAAAAGAGCAAAGCACTGCAGCAGGGAAAAGCTCATGCAAAATGCACAAGAGATGTGCATACAAAGCAGCAACAGTCAGAGATGGAAAGGCACTAGTTGGGCTTATAAAGGTACATTCGCCGATATGTAACTAAGGAAATTTTTTATTTACTTTAGACTTGAATGATCAATCAGTAAGGGGTTAAATTTTTTTAAAATGTATATCATAAAACTACATGCATATCAATAGATTTGTGTACATGATAAACTGATAAATGTAAAATTTTCTAATATATATTTTCAGCTAAATTTAATATATTTGCTAAAGTTTTATTTAAAATCAATGTAATTTACATTTGTACTTATACATACTGGCAAGGACTATGTCCCTTGAGGTCGGGCCTTTTCCATCACTGACAACCATTATTGCTGCGATCTGCTGGGGAATGTTTGGCCTGCGCTCTATGGTAACCTCAAAGTCAGCAAAAGAAGCTGTGGCAGATGGAACAGGACCCGAAACAGGAACAGGAGCAGCGGCGGGAATCCTGCAGTGTGGCGCGTGCATTGAACATCGACAACAAAGCAATTTCAGCTTAAAACAGTGCACGCGGACTCTAAGCAGACCGACCAGGCTCGAGTGACTTGTATGCAAAATGTTTTTGCAAACAGAACGGGAAACTGAGGAAAAATAAAAACGACCAACGGATGCGGATGAGGATGTGGATGCGGATGTGCCCGGATGGCAGGACAATGGCTCGCGCATGCCGAGCACTTGAAGCATGCACAGGAATTTTCATTTATTTATATATTGTGTTTTATAACCAACAGCAGGAGGAGCAGCAGCAACAGCAATAGCAATAGCAACAGCAACAGGAGCAGACGACCGGCCAGGATGCTCTACACATTTTCACAGTTTTACGTGGCGGCGGGTTTTTCAATTTTTGTTGAAAAGTAGAATATATATATATATGCACATGCATACATATCGTGTGCCTCTTGTGATCAGCAAAACAAAGCAAAAAAATATGGGCGAGAAACGAAAGAAATAAACTGACTGCCTGGCTGGTGTTGTCGTAAACATTGCGCCTGCCTTTGGCATGCAACGTTTTACGTATACGTAATGCACAAGCCAGAGAAGCCGAGGGGAAGGTTGCGATAACCAGAGAAGCACTTAAAAAAAAATTGGAGGTTACAACAGTAGACAAATGTCTACTAGATTTTAATAGATTTATACTGAAATTCCTTTTATAGCGATGTTAATTACAAGCACTATTCTTAACAATAATTTTAAAAGTTGCAACCATCTGAAATGTTTCTAAAAAAGTAAAACAAAAAAACTTGTAATGGAGCTATAAATAGTTCCTCAATTTTTAAGTGATAAATAAAACTAAACCAAGTTAATTTGATTACAATTATTGTTACCGACTCAAAATAAGAGTAAGCATTTGGAGCGTGTAAGCCTGAACAGTAACGCCACAACTGGCATTTGGTTTTGCGGTGTAATTGATTTTTCATTTGTCTTTTTAACTTTAAAAGTTAAATTTTTCAAGTATTACATTTTTCAAGTATTTTTTTCCTAAATTTTGTAATCACATTATTTTGTAATTTATCTTTTTCATTATCTCATAACATTTTCTATCGAATTTTTATTTTTTTTTTGTTTTGAGACTTTAATTTGAATAAAAAATTTAAGAAATCTGTGTAGACAAGAATTTTCAGAGTTCAATAGTTCAATAGTTAAAATTAAATTTAAGTAAACTATTACATACAAAGAATTTAGAGAAAAAAATTCATTATGGCGACAAATAATGTTACCAAATCAACTTGCTTACTTCACTTTCTCAATCCTTTTTATTAAAATAAGAACTAATTTTTTTTTTCTGGTGTAAATAGATAGGGACAGACAGGAATCGGGGGAGCCATCCAGATAGGCAAACACAACAAAAGCCCATGAAAAGTTTCTCACACAAAAAGTCCATTGATTGAATTGCCAGCAGGGGAGTGGCAGTTGAACGTAGACCGAAACAGGTGCGGTGATGCGGTGGCGGCAGGAATGGCTGGTGGAACATCAACAAAACTTACTCACCTGGACCTCAGACGAGAGCATTGCTCGGTCGGCGGAATCAATGTCCAGGTCGATGGCACTGTAATCAGCGCGTATCGGATGCACCTTCTCCAACAATTGCGGTGCCTCCTCGCGTATCCTATTGAATATCTGTCGGAGGCAGTGGGTTGGTTTTTATCCGACATTGTCCTTGCCTGCGGGAAGGGGGGAGCTCGACAGGATCCCGCATCCTGGGCGCTGACACTTACCGATTCATTGAAAAAGCCCTGCAAGCGCTCCTGCACGCTCATGTTGTCCTTGCTGCGTATCAGCATGTAAATTTTACGCAATCCAAACGAGCGAAGCAATTTCTCTGTTAACACTTTGCCCACGAAACCGGTTCCGCCCGTAATGAGTACAGTGGCATTGCTATAGAAATCCGTAACCGGTGTCGTACTGACGGCACTCGAGAGTGGGTTGCTGCCACCCCCATCGACACTGTTTGTTCTTGTACTGGAGGAGGCCTCCTGGAAGACCTGCTCCTCCTCGTCCTCCTCCGCCTCATGGCCACTGCCACCGGTTCCATTGCTACTACGTCGCGACGAGCTGGTGGAGGAAAAAGCCTTCCGAGTGGCTAAAGGAGAGATTATTTAAAAAATATTTATTAACTAGCTAGCTTCATTTATAATTAGGTATATTATCATATAAATATATTTTTCTTGGGCTTATCTTATAAAATAATATTTATACAACTTATTTATTTTAATGTCAAAAGTTACTTGCTTTCGATACTCATTACCTAGAATTCTTAAAAACCGATGACTCTAAATATAAATCGTATGTTTTCATAAAAAGTGAGCGCCATTCTAAGTTTTCATTTACTTTATCAATGTCTTGATTTTTGAAAAAAGTTGGAATGTGAAATGGAGCTCACTCTTTAAGAAATTATATGATTTTTATTTATATACTTTTATTATTTTTAACAGAAAATCGTTTTAATAAAGCCTATCATACAAATCATAAAGATTTCTTCAAGATTTGATTATTATCCTAACCTTTCCTTAAAACTTTAAATATGAAATATATGATTTACACTAACTTAAATGAAAATTCAAATTTCTACTAATAAGTATTAACTCACTTTTACTAGAATTTGCGTTATGCATGTTTTAAAATTGTATTCCTTATCCCAAAATCGAACCGTTCACTTCAAGGGTAAAAAGTACATTGACAAGTTTTCAATTTCAATGTGGCTAAAAACTGGGATTTTAATCAATAAACGGCAGACATATAACAAAAAGATTTTCCCACCGCCAGTCAATTATATTAATATGAACCACACACGATATATATATATATATAACCATTCTAACCCAATTATACTATATCTATTTGTGTGTTCAACTTTTCCCTGCAGGTAAAAATGTATATTGTTTAAAATGTGGGCTGTGGGGGCTGGCTGACATTGTGGTTGCATTTGACCCGATGACCTACCCTGCAGGATGTCTGGCGGAAGGGAGACGGCGGATCAACGTGCTCCGGCCACGCCGCACTCTTTCACTCACTTTCCATCCGCAGGTTGAGCCATTTTAAACAATGTTAATTATTCAATTATCAACAGCCAATGCGGCTGCCATGTGACCGCATGTCCTTCTAACTGCTTTTGACCATGTGTGTGTGTGTGGATCAGAGAGTGCGTGTCCCAGTCCGTGAGCTACTGTCTGTGTGTGCGTGGCCATATCCTCCGTCACAGTTGGTCCTTGTTCGTCGCGTGAGAGGGTGCACAGCATATGTTGTTTGATTGCTAGCGAAAAATGAGGCGCAAGAACAGCACATACAGATGCACTGAAAAAATAACTATTAATTTTTCCGAACAATCGGTTTTTACCAGTCCTCTTATATTTATTGATGAAATAAATGAAGATAGTAATAAACTATAAACCATAATTTAATCGGATAGATTGTTGGTACTAAACCTTTGCTATATTTGCATATTTTGCAAAATGAATGAATATAATAACCGAATTCAAAATATTCAACTGCAAAAAAAGAAATTTGAATTGTATACATTCTTACGCAGCCAATACATTTTAAGATTTTCTGATCCAGATCTTAATCCTGTACTTTTTTTTTCGGTACAAATTCACATGGTAACATACCTCATTGCGTGACATAGTTGTGGTTGCTGTTGCAGCCGTCATATATTTGTGGGCAATTGTCATTGTCCACATACAGACAGTCTGGTATTGCTTGCATTGGCATTAGGATAAAAAGGGTTGGTCAAAACGGCGGAGGGCTGATTATGGCTTCGGCATTTAAAGAGTTTAAATTTGATTAATGTAAATTGGTTTTATATACAACATTTTTTAATCGCTTTGTACATTAAAGAAAAATACCTAACACGTACTTCACAATTACCTTAAAACTAAGTTAATTGAAATGTTTAATTTCCTTCCTTTACATTTAATAGATTCCTATAGGTAATATTTTAATTGTAAATCACTGTCATAGTCAAAATAATTCAAATAATTCAAGTTTGGTTTGGGTTTCCATTAATGGATGTAACCATTTAAATGTGTCATTCGATTTTAGTCGATTTTATTTCTTAAGTCTACTATCGAAAGATTGGCATTTTATTTCTTACTACAGAAAGTTTGGTTCAGATTTAATCTTAATCTTGTCATAAGATCGAGTTCTTTTACCAAATTTACCTTTTATCAGGTGTTAAAGCTTTACCAAAGTTCACTTGAAATAAGATTTAATTTTACACCAGAAATCAAACGCACTTGACACCATCTAAGGGTTAAAGCTTTTCTATGTCTTCGCTGCGCTTACAAGAAACTTTAAAGCTTTTCGACCATCTTGGGCTTTTGATTGGCCACTTCCGGTTCGAGTCTACGCTAACTAATAATCTCTGAAGTAAAAACCCCAAGTGGACCACTCAAGTAAAATCACTTTAAACTTGAAAGTACACTTTCTTTATATCCCAAATTTATAGCAGCAGACCATAATTTAAAGATAAAAAGCTTCCCCTTGCCAGTTTAATTTAAGACCAACAAAATTAAGCGGATATGCATACAATTTATGGGGCACGCATAAACAATAATAATTGTCCTCCATTGTAATTAACAAAAAAAAGAAAACTCGTATATATTGTTGGTTTGCTTAATGACTCGAAATGTTTATTCGTTTTCGTTTGGTAATTTAATACAATAATAATTACATTAATTAGCCTTTCTGTTTTATTTTTTCAATGACATATATTGTACATTCCATTTGCATTCTGTATGCAGTTTTTAATACATAATCGGATTTTTGTTAAATAACTATTGAAATAATTTAATTTAATGCTACTTAATAGATTTCAGGTGCTTATTTAATTTGATATATTTTTTGCCTTATAATAAATTGATTTGGTGAATTTTGGCTTTGAAAGAAGAACTTTAAACAATCGATTTTAAACAACGTTTGAACCAAGTTCTGTGTGTTTTAATTCACATATATTGTGCCTTAAGGAACGCATTTTGTAGTTACAATTATTATAATACTGTACATGGCTCACGACCAGCATTCACACTCAATCAATACACATCCTTCTGCGAACCAACTATCAGCAATGGGACTTGTAATCACAATTCATTAAGACGAAATCACAGAGGTTACTAGTCAAGTTCCAATGACACATTTAGTTTGGGAAATTAAATGATTTTGATTGAATGAGTTTACTATTATACTCTTATTTATACTTTATTTATGCTTAGTTGTACAGTGTGAATAATAGTTTCTGTACTAAAATGATGGTGGTATGGGAGTGAATGATTGTTTTGAACTCCGCAAGTTTTTTACATGTTCTTACTCCTATGTGATCAGTGGTAAAGCAACCAATGAATAATTCAATTTGTTCAAGTGAATGGCTTCAGAATGTGTCAGTGGAACACGGCTATAACTTAAATAACTCTAGTTTAGATTAAAGTGGTTGCCACAAGGACTTGCCCGGCTCTTTATCCTTCACCTGTGAGCCGGGCAGATGGACACGCGACACCTCGCTGAGTATACAGGTGCCGTCGCACTCCGTCTGGCTGCCGAATTCCTGTTCGCAAATACAGCTGGAGTTCTCCCTGCTCAGCAGGGCCAGCCGAACTCCAGCTCCGGGGGGCATTTCCTCACTGGGCGGCGTGGTCGATGGCAGCTCCATGAGTGCCATGTCGTCCTCGCATTCGAGTACGTTCGGATGCAGGGGTTTAAAATTGTTACGTCGCCACGGTGGCATTGAGACACCTCCAACTGGACCCGAAACAGCCGGACCCGCGGCAAAGGTAACCACACTTTGATGTTGATGATGGCCGTTGTTGTTCTGCCCACTACTTCCGTTGAACAACCCGCTGTTGCCACCGCCCCCGTGCACCCGCGGCATATGCAAACCGGTTTTGCCATTGTTGACCCCACCTCGGCCCGCACCAAAGAGATTACTCCGTATTCGCATCGAGGAGTTGGCGTAGGTCGACCTTATGGAACTGGCGCGGGTGTGCATCGAAAATGTCCTTTCGTGGGCGTCCAGGCTCGTTTGGAACTTGCAGAAACACGCAGCGAAGCGCTTATTAAATTCCCGCTTGAACTTTTCCTATATGGAGCAAAATATGTAAAACAGGCTTAGTTAGTTTTTCTCGATAATATAGAAAGGGCAGAAAGGGTATTATTTAACGCTTGAATAGTAGATAATCACTTAAGAAGGGGGATAAATTTTAAACATTAAATTGTACATTTAAACATTCAAGGAATTGTTAAAGTTAATTTTATATTAATTTTTTTAGCCATTTTTTATGTGACAGCAACAAAAAAAAGGCATATTGTGCATCTTAAAATATGTGTGCAAGCAAATTAAATAAAATGCCTTTCTAATTAAAAAAATTACATTTAAATACATTTTATCACTTTACTCTTATACAAATACTCTTTATACCATTAAAAGATAAAAGTGCTAAAAATAAGTTTATTGCCTTTCAAACAAAGTGACAAGGAAAATATAAAATCTATTTTTTCTCAAGTTATTTGTGTTTGCTGCACAAGTGAAATCAAAGTTTTTGCGATTTTTCGGTCTAATTAAAAAGTGGAGTGCCAGCAAAAAACTTCAGAAAAGCAAAAACTTGCCGGCAGCTAAGGCCTCTTTTCGGCTAATGAAAATGGTCTAAATAATTCTCCACCTCCGCTGGCAAATGCCATTTGTCTTCGCTGACAGTAAAATAGAATATTTGTCGACAAAGTTTTCACGCACACTAAGAAGCAGAAAAAGTTTACGAGCATTCGCAGATCTCGCTCTCAATCTATCTTTTACAGACAATTTAAGTGTCAAAGCAAACAGCCGTGGGGTTTTTTCGCTTTTTCGGTTTGCCACTTTGACATTTCGAAGATTTTTGTGGATTTGCCTACAATTTGCGGGTTGCAATTCCTGTGGCTTAGACTGTAGGTGTTTGCTTATTGGCTACAGTGAAGCGATGCTTTAATTAACTTTGACAAAGTATTTTTTGTCTCGGCTATTTTTGGTACTCTGCTAAAAGAAATTGGAAATTGTTTCAAAGTAAGCCGAAATTTACTTTTGGTAAAATGTGACGCGGATGCTAATAAATCAGTGAAAGGAAAAGTGGAAAAAATCAACAATGTAATCGATTTGTTCACAATGAAATGAAGTGGGTCGAATTTTACTTATTTCGATGCTTCCTTGAGTTGTAAAGCGACGACACTTCCATGAAAGTAATTTTGTGTAATTTATTTGATGAGTTAATTATAAACCAGAAAATATTTACGATGAGATAGCAAATAATATATATTTGTATAGTTATAGGAATAGTTGAGAATTAATGTATTTACTGTCTATATCGAATTTTTAATGTTTTAATGAATTCTGTTAGTAAATGACTTAAAATGCTAGTTCGTTTTTTTTTAATTTTTGATATAAGTTTCAAGGTTTTAAACTATTAATTTTTGTTTTATTTTTGAAAATGAACTAATAAGTTTAATAAAAGATTTAAGCTAGCTAAGCAAATGTCTTCGTAAAGCACGCATTTATTAAAATTATTATCTCCAGATAACAATGTAAATTATATTTTATTCCTTTTTTATTCACTATTATTATTAATTATTATTATTTTTATTAACAGTAGTTTATTTACTGCATCAGTAGCAAATATTTTGAAAGGTTTTTTTCACGTGTGCGAAGGAGTTTTTCTGTAAATCTCCCGTCAATATTTGACTTCCCCTACTTATAGGCAAAAAACTATTCGAAGACCATAAGTCCCTCGTCAATCCCACTATTCCCAGGCAAATTTAGTGTCCTTTCCGAGACTTACATCCCCTTAGTGCAAATCCAATAAACGTGTCCCTGCGGAACAACTTCGAACCAGAGGACGCCTAAATAAGCCCAGACAGGCAAATGCGAATTCAACACTCGCAAACAAATCGGGACAAACAATCATCACCATTCAGGCTCACTTACGTTGTAGATGCCATAAATAAAGGGATTGTAGCAGCTATTGCTCATGGCCAGCCAGTCGCAGCAAAACCAGACGATGCTAATAAAATGGTAGTCGTTGATTTCCGGGATCGTTACATACAGTATATTATAGAGTTGCAGTGGCAGCCAGCACAGGCCGAAGATAACGACCACGATAATCAGCATTTTGATGACCTGCGAGCGGCAGGGAAAAAGGAAATTAAATCCCGACCGGACTCGCATCCTCCTCCCTCTTCCACTCACCTTTTTCTTGTTTTTCAGCAGCGTTATGTCCCGTGAATCCTGTGCATTGCCCGGGGCCCGAGTGCCCCACAATCGCACCGCCATCTGAATGTAGACAAAGCTGATGACACAGAAGGGAACCAAATACTGCACAAAGACCAGAGTGTAGCGAAACGATTGCAGTTGATCATCCGATAGGTTCTTGTTCATGCAGAATGGTCGCGTCACATTGAAGGTTTCATTGTTCTCTGTTTGAGGGTCGGGTAAAAATTGGTCAGCTCGTGAAATCCGTATTAACTTACCTCGAAACCTTTCGGTCAGCTTCTCCACCCGAAAGGCGACGGCAAAGGGCACCGCAAACAGCAAGGCCAACATCCAAATTCCCCCAATTATGAACTTCGATATGAACTTTGTGGGACGTGCCCTGCATGGGTAAGCCGATTTTTAATGATTCTGCCGATTCCGAATTGGAAATGCTGCCCCCTACTCACCTAAGTGGATTAATGATGGCCCGATGTCGATCGATTGCAATGGCGGTCAGCGTAAATACAGAGACATTGACGCTTAGTGCCTGGACAAAGGGGCAGAAGCTGCACATGAACCACGGCAGGTTCCAACTCTGCAGCAGGGCAGCCTGGAACTGCACAAAGAAAAAATATAGATCAATAGTTAGCATTTCTCCTCTGTACATGTACAATTTTAAATTATTCGATGCTTAGTCTTCGTGGCTATTCATGAACAAAAATATTGTATTGTTTAATAATAGATAAATTGTTCTTAAAATCAATAAATGGGTATTCAACAATTTGATTAAAAATTTAGACAGGATAATAAAAACAAGTTTCACAAGATGTACGTAAAAACTAACAAGACAACAAACAAATTTTAATAAAATATGTATGTAAGAGCTTTTATTTGCTGGTACAAAATGGAACTTGTGTGACTTAATTTAATATATAACTCGGGATAAAGACATTTAAAAATGTGATGCTGTGAAAATGCACTTCTATACAAATATTTAACTCAAGTGATTTATAGTCACTGACCCCCTTTGGACTTTACGTAAAAATGCATTAAAAAAAGTGATTTATATTACTAATAAAAGAAAATTTAACTAGATTTGTATACATTTAAAAAGTACTTCTAAGAAATTATAAAAAACTGACCGTCCAAATGCACATAATTTAATTTAAGGTAATGCTAAAAATTGTATTAAAAAAATTATTATAATTAATTAGTTTGTTAAACTTAAAGAGATATTTTATATTTTATTTAAAATACATTTTTCAAAGCATTTTTCTCAGTGCACACAAAAGGGCACGCATGTATGACTATCGGTGCGATGTGCGATGATTAAATCAACCGAAAATTGCGACCCCATTCGAGTCAGAAGGCAAACATCCATTAATGGACACTGGGCCGCAAACAACAGGAAACTGTGGGGGTGTTTTGTTATGGTTTGGCCCTGTCCCAACAATTCATGGGCAAATAAATTGCCAAAATCTCTGTTCAGTTGGTGGACTGAGATTTCGTGGCAGGGAGTGCGAACGTGAGTGCGGTTGCTGCGGATATTTGAGAAACGCGCTTTCTCCTTTCTCCAATGGCCCCGCAAATTGCAATTTTCTCGCTAGCTTATTGATGACACTCACTGGCGGCTATGACAGGACCAAAGTTCTGTTTGATTGCGGGATTAATATAAATTAAGGGCGGAAAGTGAAGGGTGACTTTGTTACAAGTTCAAAGTTCAATGGAATACCGCATAAGAGCTTAATTGCAAGAATTTGTTTAGTCTATTTGAATTAAGCCTACATTTGAATAGTTTCATATAATTTATTACAATTATTATATTTAATGAGTATAAGTACATAGTAAAAGTAATACATTAGCAGTTTAAGTATTGGTCTAAAAATGTATTACCTTTTTTATGAGCTATAATAATATTTTTAAACAGTTATAATTATTTTATAATTAAATTACGAAATAACTGTCATATTAATATTTTAAGCAAATGTGTTTATTATATGGGTAGTTCTACTTAATCCTTTACATATTGATAATATGAATTTGTTTATTTAATTAATACTTATTAAGCTTGTTTAAGGCAATGTTTGACTTTAACATTCCCCCTTAAATTATTTTGTGAATGAAAATGCGAAACACTACAAAACTTGTCGATACCAGCAGCCAACTAATTAATGTTCTTATTATTTTCATTAGCATTTTTCTGATCTGATTCATATTTGACCATTTCCCGTCTAAACAGAATTTTCAAAGCATGTTTGCGTATGTATTTAATAATTCCACCGAATCAATTGATGATAATAGCTTTACAGTTTTAAAGTATCACATACAAATCCAATCTGCTTTCATTTGCTGCCGCCAGAAATGGGGCGAGAAAATTGTTCACTTGGCTTTTAGCACTTTAATTTCAGTGGCTTATATGGAATAGTAATCCCATTAACACATAAACCGAAAATCGCATTAAAATTTCAAGTAGGTAATATTCCATTACCCCAGCTTTTTGGATGTGCGGGAGAGTAGGCGTTGTCGATTTTCTAATTTCAAAAATGAGCGCTTGCCGTCCGGAAATTAAATTGATGCTGGATTACGCCAGAATTGATGTCCCTGGGCCCTGTGCTTTTTAAAATGTGTGTTAGTGTCCATTAAGGACTACCTATCTATGGCGAAAATAAGTGAAAACTAATGCTGATGCTGTTGGCTTGTGTGATTTATGCATATAAATTGTGAACAGCGTCGCGCACGAAAAACATTTACGTTGATATCCGTTTACCTGCGCAACGCTGCGTATGCGCGATGTTTATTTTATGCATTTTACAGCCACATAAAATAAGCCTAATTACCTGTAATTCAATTAAGCACCGCGGCCGTAACTCACCTGAAATGGTATGCAGAATAGGCCAATGATCACATCGGCAAATGCCAAATTAGCGATATACATATTTGTCACAGTTCGCATTTGTCTGGTAGTGGCCACCACCCAGATAACCAGAGTGTTGCCAATGACAGCCACGATGCTGATTCCCCCATAGAAGATGGACAGCAGGGCCACAATCTCAGCGGGGGCCGCGTACAAACGCTCTGCAAATGGATTGCAAAATAGTTATGATTCAGTTTTATCCTCACTCAAAAAAATTAAAGGATGGAGAAGGAATTAAATATAATTTGTTGCTTAAATTTTTGGTTTTTGTGCTGATTAATGAATTGTTTTTCAAAATGCTTGTTTAATCACTTATCCCTTTAAAAAGCAAAAATGAATAAAATAATACATATTTTGTTTTCGGTTGGATTGGCATAGTTTTATGCCCAAAATTTCACCTTAAGAAAATTTTTAATTTTTAAATAAGCTTTAGGATATAGTGAGTAGGTATTTAGAGAAAGATATTCTAAAATTGCATTATTCAAATTAAATTTTTAAGTTTTTTCCAGTTTAGCCACTTTATTCCATTGTGTTATTGCTGTATAACATTAAAAATAAATAATGATAAATACTTTTTCACAAAATTAAGTGTTGCTATTAAGCTGTCATAGTGGAATATAATGCTTCATATAGGAATTCAAAAATTTAAGTTTTTGTGAGTTAATACATTTTTATGTGCTGCTTTTTCAGTGTTGAACAGTGTCACAAATCCCGCTAGCCTGACGGTAGCAGATTATTGCAAGTGTCAGATGTCTGTCAGTTGTTGGCAGGACCAACGACATTGACATTCCTGCTGACTGGAAAACGTCAAGGAAATTGAATCGGATTTATAATGCCAGTTTTAGATAAGAGCTTGAAAGTCCAACTTTTGCCCTTACATGGCATAGAAATGTACATGTACCTGATACACATTTCCAATACATTCAATTAAAATGCTCGAATTTAGACTTTTATTAAGCACACCAAAAGCACATTAATAATTCAGGATCAAAGAACTAACAGCGCGCTGAGAAAACAACAACAAACGTGTCTATGTTTTGATTGATGATGTATCGAGTCAATTTAATCCAGTTGGATGAATCCTGTCCCCAAGAGATTAGGGAATAGCTTACCAAATTCCGCTTCCTCTTCGGCTCCGGGCAAGAATTCCAGGCGGGATTCCTGCTCGATTAAGTCCATTGCCATGGCACTATGTTCTTGTCTTGCCTAATGATAATATAATATCCTCTAAAGCTTGTACTCAAGTTTGACTTTTCTTTGTTTATGTAGTGCAATACATCTTTAGGGGCTTCCTGGCATTGTTGCGATCTAAAAGAGAAAGATACAAATTTCCACAATTATTCAGCTTCCATAAAAGTTGGTTTAAAGTAACATACAACCATTCATGTGGTCAGAGTAAATCATGAATGCAGACAGCAAGGAAAACAAATGATCCAAAATAACATTGAAAAACTAAACAAGCAATCTCAGTTTTCCCTCAAGGAACTGACCAATTTCAATGGGTGGACATGAGTAATGGCTCAGGTGGAATCACCTGTCAGCTTTCTCATGTGAAAAGTTTGCATTGTATAATTGAAAATGCACTAAAATTCATCTCGTTGTTTTGTGCCGGGGGCAGTGAAACAGAATGTCGTTCCTTATGAAAACAGTTTTGACTCCCCAATAATATTTTTATGTTTTTATTGAAGAGTCACGCCAACGCTCAAATTTTGGCTTAAACGTATTGAGGCTGTTCCTTTATAATAAACAAGCACTGACTAAGTTCATTGATTGATGAAAATAAGATTCTCAGTGTGGTTAATTGGCCATTTATCGAGTGCTTAACATTTGGGATGACTTGTTAATTTATCTTCTATAGTGTAAACACTGTCAAGACTTGTTAATTTATTGGGCAACTAAATGTTTATTTTATTGTCAGACCAAATTGCTATAGATTTGTGCAGGGGTTTTTATATAAAAAATATTTAATTTTTAATGTATTTTTTACCAATCAATGTTAATCATTAACATACTAATAATAATTTAATAATACATTTTCGATGGTTTTGTTGGACTCGAGGTTAAATGAAGAAACAAAATTAGTTTTACCTCTAGAAAAACTTTATCTAGTATTTTACTTGCCAACAAATTAAATGGTTCTAATTGCTCATATTTTATTCAAAACATATTTTCCTCATACCTAGCTGGTTATTGTTTTGTAAATGACTTATGCCTTACGAATCATTTTAAGGCTTTAAAATTCAAGAAAGTAGGAAGAAAATATTCTTTCTTTATTCAACATGTTACCTAACTAAACTGTTTAACTTATTATATGGTACCTTTGCTAAAGCTTTTACTTTATTTTTGGACAATAACTTTATACCAAGTTATTTTTTCGCAAAAACTACAAGCCCATGCACACAAATTCTGTAATAAATACACTCGTAAATTTTCTTCTTTTGTAGTGCCACATAGCATATGTGAACATATTTTCGAAGGTATTACGAGCAGTACTCGATGGACATATGCCTTGGAAGCTTTTGCCGAAATAAGCATTTGCTTTCTAATCCTCTTTGATGGGAGGACGAAATCCTAAAAATATACTTATTTGCGTAGCTCAACGGGAACTGCAGATAATATGCCAGCTCAGGACTTAATGCGATTTTTCAAGTGTAAACTAGATAGGGAGTGTGCATTGTTGAAATTGCGTATATGGGATCCCACGACCACCGCTAACGCATTTAGTTGTCGGTTCATCAGCTTAAAGGCTGAAAGCCATAAAGGCCAAGCCATAAAGTACAACTTTGTGTGGGTGTCCTATGCAAAGATTCGCTGCCAGCTGTTTGAAAAATTGTATACAATTTTTCAGTGGCAAAAGGGGGATAAATCGGGAAAACTGTCGGATCCGTTTATGCTTACAGTAAGTGCAATTAGTCTGCCCATGCGAGACGCAAAGATTTTCTAATTAACGTCAAAGGAAAGACTCTCTTTATTCGTGTCCCTCTTGTTTTGGTTTGAATTTTGATGGTCAACTAATTGAGAGCCAAGGATTTTCGGGCCATTAAGCTGACGTAAATGTTGGTATGTGTGTGCCTTTGCAATGATACACTAAAAAAAATGAACCCACATTTTTAAAATAAATACTTAAATAATACTTTAATACGTCATTAATATAATACTTAATTATTTCATTTAAATATGAAATGTTCATTACGGATTTTAAACATTCTAAGTAATTTCAAAAATTGTTCTTATTTTTCTCCGTGTTCGAAGCCCCAGACGGCGTGAAAAGTGCTGCCGTAGATTTTCCACGAAACTCACTCGAAACACACTCGAGAACAAAGCAACAGGGATTCATGTCACTCAGGACCAAACCATTAATTTGTAAAATTTACAGACTTTTGACTTCACACAAACAAGAAATATGGGACGCACGTGCGAGTAGCAAAATATTCAGGAATGGACCCGGGTGAATTGAATAAAAAATTTGTTGAATGAAAATTGTTGTTCAAGCAGCGAATATTATTAAACGTGTATCCTATTAAAACGTCAGTGGGGCGTAGGACATCAAAGAGCAAATTCATATTGGATGGCAACGTAACGTAACGTAGCTTCAAAAGTTTGGCCTATCATCAGCAAGCCATTTGACAACAATGTAATATGGCAATGTAGGCTCCCACGTCCTGTTCTTTTAAATAACAGTGAGCATTGCGCATACGACACATAAGCCCAGCAACATCAGCCACATTATGGCAAGGCTTATGCCGAGAAGGGGCGACAGATTTAATGAAAAAGGAAAAGAAAAGACAACATGTCCAATAAAAGCGCAACTGTATGCTGTCGCTATTTAATACCCTTGCAGGGGGTAATATTCTGACAGGGAGTTTACTACGCCACAACAGTTAAATTATAAATATTGATATTAATTTAAGAATAAACTCTTCACCAACTGATTCTTAGCTTAAAACTTTAATCATAGGTATTTATTTTAAGCTCTTTTGCTTTAACAAAAAGATAATTTAAGGCTAAACAAAAATAGAAAACTTTATCCTTGCCCTGCCATATCAATGTAATGTTATCTAAAATTACATTAAATCTTAAAATTATACAAATAAACTAACTTTGAACTTTCTAAGATACTCATACAATTTTAAAAAATGAATTAAAATGCCAAAGTAAACTTGTCCCCTATTCGTCCAAAAAGAATGGTTAAATCTAAGGGCAATATAAATTCGGTCCAAATTTTTTTTTTCGTATCTTATTTGAGTTCAAGAGAGAGGTAAAGGGACTAACCGAAGGCTTAAGAATCGAGCGTGTAATTTTCAGGGGTCGTGTGTGTATCTCTGTTTACAATGCCAACGGACTTTGGACCTAAGCCTGAACTTAGACGGCGTGTGTTTACGGCTTCTGGTTTGATTGGTCTTTTGGGACAAATGTTTTCAGCTGTCTGGTCTTATTTTAATAAATAATCACTTGGTTGAGCGAGGATTGTAATTAAGATTGCTGCCATTTTAGTTAATGTGTCAAAGAAGTGGTGATAAATTAGAACCGCTTTAGGAAATGTCACAAAAAGTTAAAATAAGCCCATTATATTCAAATCCTTTTGAGCTGGCCTTATCTTATTTAATAGGTTTTAAAGTAAACTTTTCTTAACCAATTCAAGCTTGAATACTTTGGCTGTGGCTTATTTATCTTAATTTTCTTGGTATTGACAGTTTCAATTTGAAGCAGACCGGATATTATTAAGCCCATTTCCACGCAAATTGATGGCCACTTGAGACTCTGTTGTCGGCAGGACTCAAAGAAGAATCAATTAAAAATTAATGAAACACAATGTCCCAGGTTACAGGTAAATGATTTTAGACGGCTTACTAATTTGCGCACAGCACGATAAAATGTTTTGCCACAATTGCTGACCAAAAAGGCTTGTCCAGCATCAAAAATTCTGTTTTAATCTCTTGATGAAATGCTTTTAGCTATCGGGAGACGAAAACTTTCCCACAGTTCATTAATCTTTCTTCTTATACAATTTTCTTGCTTCGCTTTTGGCCTACCTTTCCCCAACAGTGTCCACTCAAATGACCTTGTTAAGTACCTCCCATTATGGTCGCCGGTCCTTTGGAATTGTTTGCGTAATATCCGGCCGCAATGTGCTCCCTTTTGCGGCTTCTTAGCTATTTTACAATTGTAAAATGCTAAAATTAGCAGGCCCAAAATTCTCTTAAAATTAATAACAAAGTTATGTCTGTCCGCCGATTGCCGCTTGTGGCATACAATTTAATTGCGCATTACAGGAAAGGATGCTTTGAAAAAATGACCCCCAGGTGTCCTATTCCTTCGGACACGTGGCTCGTAAAAAAACAGAGATGGCAGGCAATCATTGAACAGGTCACAACCATTGAATCGAAATGAAGGTCTCTCTGGAAATACACTTGTGAAGTATGTAATGCTTAATTTGAATTTGGTATTATGTTTGTATGAGCTGATCGATTTAAAACGTCCTTTAAAAAAATATATACTTAAGATGGATGTTTTTAACAATATTTGAAACGTATTTTGTTTGTCGTTAATAACTATAAAAATAGTGTTTTGTTTTTTAGTGTTTAAAAAAGATATTTAAATTCTAAGTTGACAAATATTCAAAAAGCATATACACAATTGCAAAATATTTTTTTTTTGTCATTTTTTACTTGGATGTCTCCTTATAATACTAGAAAGATATTTTATTTAAATTTTGTCGTTACAATAAAAGTTTTAACATTTATTATTCGTTAATAGGTGTTTTCATTAATATAACTATAAGTTATAAAGTAATAAAATAATCAAATAAATTATTTAAAACACCCATAAAACGCTTTTACCTATACGTATCTACCAAATTAAACGTGTTAGTTAGGCATGCCCTACTTCCTTCTATGCAAACACTAAAATTAGTTTCGCAATAAGGGCTTTCTTTTCCAACTTCTGTATCACTTAATCCAAAAATTGTACTGCCCTTTCTCACGTAACGCAACCATCTCTTAGCCAAACCATAATCCAAAAGAAGAGCCTCTCATCAACACATAAAAAGAAAATAGAACCACAAGGTGAAAAAGGGCAGGGGATTATTTTACGCACATTTTGCGCAATTTAAAGTCTAATTGTAATAAATGTGAGTGTTACCCGCAGGTGCTGTGAATCCCCTCTTTCGGCAGTCACGCCCAAAACACGTATCCAGTTGAATTGGTATTAATATAGTTTTATTTCGGCACACAACTCCTCCGGCCACAACAAACTTTTCGGTGCAAAAATCTAATTAAAAGTCCTTTTGTGAGTGGCGTGAATATTTG